ATACTCACTCACTAATTTTCCAGTGTCCCAAGTAGACACTTCTGTCTGCTTATCCTTTTTTCCCCTTTCAGGCTCTGACTTTATTTTGTCAGTCTAAAGAGTTCTTCCTCATCTTAGAACCAGTATTTTTTTATGCTTTATTCTTTCCACTTCCATTTAGGATTAGTCAGCACCAGAGCTAATTTCATTTCCTTGTGACTCTCTGATGTTTAAATGACAATATGACATAATTTGTAGAAGTAATTCAACAGATGAGAATCTGGAGTCTTGAATGAAGCTCCTTTGTAGGACCCTGAAGAATAGCTCAGGAGTTCTCTAGCAGCTTCTGAAGTATTAATGAAAACCCCTCTAATTTCTTTTATTTTTCCATTCTTCATTTATATTCATTCTAATGGAGATGAAACTTGCTTTGGAAGTAAGGTTATAAAATCAATGCAGTTCAAACTAGATGAAAGATTTAAATTAAAAAAAAAAAACAACAAAAAACCCCAGCTTCTCCCCTACTCCAGGGCGTTGTAATAATATATTATTACTATGTGAGAAGTACTTCTTTAATAACTGGAGAGTTAGAGATATTTTTGAAAGCAAGTGGTTTGATTGACTGAATATCTCCTAGCAACTTAGGAAGCTTTAAATACAACTGATTGAATACTGCCTGTGGAATATATTGTCAAGCCCAAAGCACCTGCCAAAACCAGATGATGATTCCATTCTTTAAAACACATCAGGTAGTAAATACGTAACTCAATATTTTGTCAGCTACCAAAAAGGAATTTGCATAAGACGCATGACGCAATATATAGAAACTTGAATTCCAAATGGCATTCAAGTGCTGCAGACCTAAATAGTACATCTGTGAGGTAGATTTTGAAGTTAATACTGCATGCTTCTATTGAAATAGTGCAGTGTTTTATCAAGAAGCTAAACTTGACTTTCTGGTATTTCTTGGTACTTGCCACTTGGTATACACATTGGCCATGTGAACAAGAATATGATCTTGCTGGCATTTTATGTGGGCAACCGTAGGAAAACTCTACTTGGCAAATAAAAGCTTGGGGTTTTTTTATTGGTTAGAGGAAGAATCAAGCCAAAGAATGGTAGTGTCAACAGAGACACTGGGGGGGACTGCAGCTGCTTTTTCATCTCTCAATCAGCTTAAGATGCTGTTTTCTCTCATTGTGTATATTTGTATGTACCCTACAAAAATACTAACAAATCTGTCTGCGTCATAAATCAATTACACTTCAACTCAAAAGAGCTTCTGTTAAGTGTCAACAATATATAGTATGAACAACATGTGGTTGTTGATACAGTCTGCAGTAAGAACAACCTAACTTTTCTTGGAGGCAGGAAGCTAAACTCTGCATGCTGTCCAGCTGCAGCAGAGTAAATGGAGTTGTCTCGTCAAGCAGTATTTTTATGCTGGTAGCTATGCTTTGGTTGATATGGTGGTAGTGCACAGTACATCTCCAGGAGAACTAAAATAAGGGAGAATCACATTTTATTAAGATGATAGTGGCCTTTACCATGTAGTTACTGCTCGTGCAAAACAACTAGCTCGCACACGAGCTATGCACTGAGCACAGCTGCATAATTTGGCCAATGCTGAGAATTTTACTAATTCACCAATACCTGTCATTCAGGACAATTTTTGCCTGGTGCACAGTGAACTGGATAACAAAGAATGATTGCAGTATTTCTTCAGTATAAAAATTTAAACATAGTTTAATCAGTCTCATGCACTGAGCTATTACATTTTATTTTTGTCTTGGATTTGCTGTCTGGTAAGATGATTTAATGACTGTCTGTTGCTTAGTGTCTTATGGAAAGAGAGGTATTTAATAAACCACATTAGAATTGATTAGCTATGGGATAGTATCATCAAGAGATATGTGCTCCACTAGAGATTTTTCTCCATTAAAACCACTGTGAAGAATTACTAGGGGGAGTTGTATAAAGTATGTTTGCTTTCATTTCGTTGTCAGATCATTTCATAAAAGGGTGAATGCTTTCTGAAAATAACTCTGATGCCTTTTAAGTTTACAAAGAACGCTTGTGAAACCCCTGAGAAAACTTTGCATGTTTTTGTGCTGTTTTTATGTTTGTGTGACAAACATTTAGCTGAAACATTAGACACCTCTCAGTTTCAATTGGACAACTTGCTTAGAAATATGATCTGCACATATCTTTAAAAATGTGTCCTTCTAACTTGCTCTGGTGGCCTTGCACATTCATCTGCAGCCTTCCAGTTTTAACACACTTTGAAAGTTTCTATTTCCTGTTGCTGTCAGTGAGTCTTCAAATGCTCTGTCTGAAGGCGGCACTAAAAAGTTCAAGTGGTAGGTGCTGGAGCCACCAACCAGCTGGAGTGGTTGGTGGCTGAGCCAAGACGGTGTCTGTGCAGGCATGGGTGGAAAGCCAGGACCAGGTTACCTGATGTGGAATGTGTGTGCCACACTCGGCTGTGCTAGCAGAGATCCTCCTTGCATAGCTCTGCACTAGTACATCTCTATCTGCTTGGGTACCACAGAAAGTGTCTGCCACAGTGTCTGATGAGCGTAAGAGTTTGCTTACTTAAGAGTATCACTTGCCCTGGGAGGGTAAAGCCAGAGCCAAGAAGACGGGGAGCAAAGAAACCAGAATGGGCTGTCTGCTTCTCACCGCCCTCTGCCTCCTTAACATCACTCCCCTCTGCCCATATAGACATGGGAGGAAAGGGACTTCTCAGTCTGAGCAGACCAAGGCAGAACAAGAAAGAGCTGTTGCCGAGCCAGTGTGTGGTGTATTTCCATGTATGTCAGGTCCGTGGAGCTGAGTGCGCTCCAGGCGGTTTGCAGCAAGTGTTTAAGTACAGATGTGTGATTTCCACCGCCAGCCATCCTGGGCTGACCTGTCTTTGGTAGTCCTTCTGTGTGCTTAAAATGCATTTGGAGCAAGTAAGCATTTCTGTGGCCATATAGTGGGTGTCTGCATTTCCTTCACCTATAGTATTGTCTTTAACTTTTATTAATCGGAAATGACCAAACCTTTGAGGACTGTGGGTGTTTTATGACATTCAAGACAAGACATTAATATTAAATTCATCTTCACGTTTGCACAGTTCTAGTAAGCCTTTTTTTTCCTGGTAGCACTCTTTTTTTTGAATTAAAAAAAAAAGCAAACATCTTGCTAAAGACAGGTTTTTAAAGGAGAGCTCAAATCCTATATTCTGAGTGTGAGTTTTCTGACATCTTGGTATGCATTAGAAGGTGCCCAGAGCTGCGTGCAGTAAGAACAGATTGCTTCATTTACTCTTGTGCTGTTGCTGTGTGACTTAGAATCGTAGGGAAATTTGTGATGGAAAATTTGTTTCTATGAGATGATATTTCTTCCTGAGATCTGGATAGAGTAAGATACAATAATTAGGGAAAAATAGCATCTGAGCTAATGCTGGTTTCTCTCTGTACTTCTGCTCCACTGCCATCCATTCACCGTATTTGAAACAAATGTGTAGGGCTTGAATATCCAAAACAGTGGGTTGCATTCTGTGCGTACTTTTGTGAAGTTATGTGCATCAAGTCTTTCTTCTTTTTTTGCCTGTCCCATTTGTTTAATTACGTGTTATTATGTATGTGTAGAATCTCTTGAAAAAAAATAATTTCTTCTGGATGTGGCTTCACACAGGTCCGTCTGTGCCATTGAAGTGGCCAATGGAAAGAAAAGCAAGCTGCTGTGATCCACTTACACACAAACAGATTAAAACTATATGTTTATGTTTACTTACAGAGTATTTTTATCTTTAAAAAACAATTATGCACTAGTTATTAAAATATGAGCACTTTAGCAAATTTCTATATTTGAATACTCAGGATGGCTCATTTAATGCAGGAGTCAACATAAGCATCTAAAACCATGGTTTGGATATCCTACTTAGGTATCTGCCTCTGAAATTCCCGAAATCATTCATTACTAGACTGTTGTGGTTTAACCCAGCAGGCAGCTGAACACCACGCAGCTGTTCGCTCACTCCCCCCCCCAGTGGGAAGGGGGAGAGAATTGAGAAAAAAAAAGAGTAAGATGCATGGTTGAGATAAAGACAGTTTAATAGGACGGAAAAGGAAGGGAAAAATAATAATAATGATGATGATAAAAGAATATACAAAACAAGTGATGCACAATGCAATAGTTCACCACCTGCTGACCGATGCCCAGCCAGTTCCTGAGCGGTGGTCACCCCTCCCCTGGCCAACTCCCCCCAGTTTATATACTGAGCATGACGTCACATGGTATGGAATGTCCCTTTGGCCAGTTTGGGTCAGCTGTCCTGGCTGTGCCCCCTCCCAACTTCTTGTGCACCTGCAGCCTTCTCAGTCAGTAGAGCATGGGAAGCTGAGAAGTCCTTGACTAGTGTAAGCATTACCTAGCAACAACTAAAACATCGGTGAGTTATCAACA